AAGGGGCACGGCAGTCCCCCCCCCCCCCCCGCCTCCTTCCAGCAGCTGAAACTCCCAAATCCTCTATTTTTTCCCCCAAGAGCACTGCACTGCCAGGGGCTCCCTGCAGGCACCCAGCTGCCCCAGCCCCACCGTGCCCCCCAAACGTGGGAACGGGATGAGCGCCCAGACCCGGGGGCTGGGTCAGCTCCCCCGTCCAGCCCTGTCCCGTGTGTGTGACCGCTCCAGAAGACCAGGTTAATCATTTTGGGTGGCAAGCAGAGGGGGAGGAGACTGCTGCCACCGGCCGGCCCCGAGGAGGGGACTCGGCCCTGCTCTAGCGCTGCCACCCCAGGCACTGCTCGAGACCCCGGACTCAGAGAAAACCAAAGGGCCAACCGACCAGTTGCCCAACCAGCCGATCAGCCGACTGACAACCCAACTAACCGACCAGCGGACCAACCGACCAACCGGTTGACCAGCCAAATCAACGAACCGATCAAGAAACAGACCAAATGGTCAACCTGTTGGCCAACCAACCGATTGACTGACCAAATAACCAACCCACCGACCAACTGACTGACCAGTCAACTGTCTGACTGATTGATCAACCAACCCACCACCCAACGACCCAACCCGCTCCACCCAACCACCCAACCCATCACCCAACTGCCCTTGCCAACCTATTAAGCACTGACTCAAGTGTCCTTCAAGCCAGGTTTGGGGACGGTTGTCATTACCATGATGTTTGGCCGGCCAACCCAGGCAAGGGGCTTTATGGCACCCTGTCCTTCATCCTCAGTCCTTCCAGTGAGCCCTGATGGCCCCGTGGGACCGTCAGGTAGAGGGACCCCGTTGAGCACCGGCAGCCAGGACTTACCTGTGTGAGATCCGACTCCCACGGATCCGTCCTGTCTTCTCAACCCCCTCGGCGTGCAGGGGAGCGGGATGGACACCGAGCCCAGCCACCTCCTCCTTCTCTTCCTCCGTGGTGCCCTGACCCGAGTGGCAAAGTTTAAACTCCAACCGCACAGAAATAACGTCCCGGATTGCAAAATCTCCTGTCCCTGATTGGGGACGGCGCTGAGCGATGGCAGGGCTGCCCCGGGGATGGACCTGCTGCGCTCTGTAACTCATTAGCCCAATGTTTTTGTCTTCCTCTGCCGAGCCGGGCAGGAGGGGCCCGGGGCCGGTGAGCGAAGTCCGAGCACTGTGATTGCCTGTGAACTTTCACCCATTTTGGGGGACAATTTCCCTTTTTTTCAGACGAGCGTATCGCGTTAATCACATTTTATAGGTGTTGAGAACATCCGGGGAAGACCTTGGCTTGGACTCTACCACTTGCGGCTTCCTCCACAACAAACCCTGGTCCCCTCTGCACCCTGTGGCCGGGGCTGGCCCGGTGGGGGACAATTTCCCTTTTTTTCAGACGAGCGTATCGCGTTAATCACATTTTATAGGTGTTGAGAACATCCGGGGAAGACCTTGGCTTGGACTCTACCACTTGCGGCTTCCTCCACAACAAACCCTGGTCCCCTCTGCACCCTGTGGCCGGGGCTGGCCCGGACGCCTGTTCTGCTGCCCCTGCCCGGCCGCTGCCTGCCGGCGGGGCTGCCCGCACCCCCCGTGCCCCGGGCCCCCCCCCGGCT